GAGATGTGACCCGTCGCAAACGCTGACGACAAGTTTGGGGTTTTGTTGGCCACTACTGACACGCGCTGCACCTTTCCGTGCTTGATACAGACGAGAGGATTTCCGATCGAGAGGAATGACCTGCAAAACCTATGAGATCCTGTGATCAGATTCAAATCCCAAAACACCCCCCGCTGTATCGCTTAACCCCCCCCCCATACACACACACACCCTGCTTTTGCGACCATTGCATGGTACTAAGAATGCCCATTTCGGCACAGATTTTCGGCCTCCTGCGGTGTCCATTTCCTTTCCACGCCACTCGTTCCAATCTACCCCCACCCCCACCCCCTTCTCCCCGCACCGGCGCTGCCATCCACGCGCCGGCCAGGTGTCCCACATCATGGCGACGGCCGCCCAGAACGGGTCATGCATCGTTTGGGACCTCAAGCAGAAGAAGCCGTGGTGCGAGCTGAGGGACCCCAACCGGGCTCCGATCACGGACGTTGCTTGGAACCCGGACCAAGGGCAGCATCTCGTCACCGGTGGGAGAGACATAAATGAGACAGAGACAGGCAGACAGACAGACAGACAGACAGACAGAGACAAGATACAGAGAGAGACAGGGGAGAGAGGAAGAGATATGAAGAGACACAGACACAGAGACAGAGACTGACGACATGCAGAGATATAGATTGCGAGAGATAGATTGAGAGATAGGGACGGACAGACAGACAGGCGAACAGGCGGACAAGTAGCCGCCGTCATGGCCGCGGTGTTTTGTGCGTGGTGGAGGGTACTCTCTCTCTCTATCTGCTATTCTTGCCGGTGTCATCTTCGGCCGCCCGGTGGTCGTGTGCCTTGTGCTACCTATCAACCGTTACCGGCGTTTTTTTTTCCATGTGTTGTGTGTTGTTGTTTGCACTCCATCTGTTCCTGTGGTATCTATGCACTGGCTGCTGACTGGTGTCGTGGTGGTGTGGTGGTATGCAGCCTCCGGGGACGACAATAACCCGGTGCTCAAGCTGTGGGATCTCCGGTCCTCGACAACCCTGCCGCTGGCCACACTTTCGGGGCACTCGGAGGGCGTTCTCTCCGTGGCGTGGTGCCCGTACGGTGAGGAGGGGAGGCGGCCGGGGGGGGAGGTACTCGTGTTTTTGCCATTGATGAAGCGTCGTCGAGAGGACGGAGCAGGGAAGGGGGGGGGGGGATTCTTGCCTGCAAGGGTAGTGAGAATACGGTGGGGGGGGTGGGAGGCCCGGATTGGCTGTACACCCAGGC